ATGATCATTATACCACTTGTGCATGTTTTTGCTACATTTGTTTGAGTAGTATAGTACCTCTGTCATCAGTATTTGGTACTAGTTTCTGTTGAAAACTTTGATGTTTCATTTTATCCAACTCATTTGAAACTTTATATTATTATTAGGGAGTTGTTCCTATAATAATAAAATTAATTGTCTTCTCTGTACACGTCAGTTTGAGTCTTGAATAAATATACACACTTATTGGTAAAAGGTGGTCGGATGTAAATTCACAATTATTCATCTTATGCTACATTGGGCCTAATTAAAAAAAAAAAAAGTGAGTTTGTTTGATGATGACGATGTGAAAAACATATTTCGCTTGCACGTGTGTTGGAAAGTAAGCATTGCAGATATGTTCCCCGTTGAAAACAATGAAAGACAAGGTCATGAAGTTTAGTCCATCTCGATGAGCAAGTAATGTTGATTTCTATATGAGTAATTAATTCATATTGAAATACAGTATAGTCGTATGACAATCCTATTTCATTATAGTTTTAACTAGTTCCGTTAGTTATAAATTTTTATACTATTTTTTCATGAATGTAGGAAAATCGTACTATATGGCGAATTTTCAGATGGAGAATCTCAATGGTTATTTCAAGATAATTCAATTGATTCTTGGCGCTATTGCATCAAAGGAGGGGAACAAAATCCATTTTAGTTGACCAAAGTCGATAGTAACTGATTGGTAATGGGTACTATCATATAATGCACCTGGTATCATGTTTAAGACAAACATGTACCATATTACTAATCATGATTCTTTAATTTGTCATGTCTACCATGTCACATGGATCTTTCATGCATGAAGTGGTCGAAAGATAGACGGATGTACAACATATATGTGGATTTTAGACTAGTCAAGTTTAATCATTTAATGACATGAATTGTATAAGCAATGTTTGTTCATTAGTGTGTCGAGGATACTTAATTAAACACATTTATAAACTTTAAAACTAATGTGTGAGTGATTTTGAGTAATAAAAACATCATTTAAGACCAGAATTTTTGTACTCTTTGAAATTTATTTGGGTTGGTACAGAAGAACCAATAGTAGGTACTAACTTAATATAGAAGGAGTACCGTTACACTATTGAGTTGATATAAATGACATAAACGTTGACCAAAATTAGAGCAATTCATTATCTTTGACTAAAATTGGTACTAATTGCTATGTATCAAGTACCGTCGTGCATATAATTTGGTATGGAAGGTGAATGGTCGTTGCACCAAAGATTTTTCAAAAATATTATCTAAAACCATCACCCATGAAACAATAGAGAAAAACGGCGTTCCACTAGACAATAGATATGTTGTACCACATAAAGGGAGATTACTGTTTGTCCCATTTTTGTGTCTTTATTTCATGTTTATTTTCTTTTTGTTTTCCTCCATTTGTAGGATTTTTGTAGTTTATTTGGTCCATTTCGTTCGTTTTGTGTTTTTGTCCTTAGTTTATATTTTTGTATCTTTTTGCCGTGTTTTGCTTCGTGTTTTTTCTGTATTTGTGTTTGCAGGAGGTAGGTTGTGTCGGTCGAGGATGGAATTGCTTGAGCCAAGATCAGGATATCGAGAATTCCCGTTGGCCGAGCCAAGAAGACGACGAGGAGGACCGAAAAACGGACAGAACAATGCGCAGAATGAGTCGCGACTCGCGAGTAGTCACTCGACTCGCGAGTGGAGTCGCGACTCGCGAATGTGTCGCGCCTCGCGGGGAAAACTGAGGCTAAAGGAGATTTCCGAAGAACGAGTCGCGACTCGCGAGTCAGGTCGCGACCAAGCCCCTGAATTTAAAGAAGAAGACGACGCGCGACTCGCGAGGAAGTCGCGACTCGCGACCAAGACAAAGGCCATCTCGCGACTCGCGACTCAAGTCGCGAGTCGCGACTTAACCGGCGCGAATTCCGAGGACGGGATTTTTACATCAGTTTTTGATCCTAGGGTTCATTATTCAGTTTTCATACTTCGTTTTTACACTTTTTCTCTGGAGAAAACCATTCCTTTTCTTTCTGTTGCACTTTTGATTGGTTTTGGAGATTGAAAAACTCCTTTTCTTCGCTTTGGATCTGGATTGTTCATTGGATTTGACATTGGATTCTCTATATAAATCGTAAGTTATTTTTTCTCAATTCCTTTGTTGATGATGATGGCTTGGGTTTGTGTGAATGTTAATGTTGAATTCCATATGAGTAGCTAAATCCACTCGCTAGGGATAGGGGATGATTGATTAGGTTCGTTATAATTGAGTGCTTTTGATTGTTCATGTCTATTCGAGTTGTGTGAACCATAGGGTTAGGAGATTGATCACCTTTCTAGCCTAGATAATCAACGTGTAGAACCGAGAGGGGAGACGTTGGTAGAATTAGGCTCGTTTAGAATAGATTTGTTCGGAAGCGTATAATCTATGAGTTGTTGGACTTGATAGTTAATCGTTAACGTTCACTCTCTTGTTACGAAGAGTTATTGAGAGTGAACCTCTGAACGAGGAACGACTCAAGACCTTTAACCGAGCAATCAATTGCCGGTGATTGTGTTAGAACCGAAAGCAATTATCCCCGATTCCCTAGCACTTTATTCATTCAGTAAATTCATTAGCTATTTGCCTTCATTTAATTTAGTCCGCATCAGTAGTTGGTAATTGAAACCCCAAATATTGAAATAGAGTGTTTAGGAATTTTTTTTCTTCTATTTTTCGTGACTGAATATACGCACAAGAATTTCCGGCTAACCTTCCTTGCGATACGACCCGGGGACGAATCTTTCGATTCTACTCCGGTTAAAAATACTTACAACAAAATTGGCGCCGTTGCCGGGGAAGGTTTAGGATTATAATTGTGCGCCTATTCATCTTGTTTTTAGTGTTTCTCTTATTTCTTGTGATTTTTCTTGTTTCCGTGTTTCTCTTGATTTCTTTTTATTTGTTAGGTGTTAGTTCTCGTTTTATTTTGTTTTTATTTTGTTTTATCATTGGTGCTCGTAACCCTTGTTGGTCTTAGTGTATGCGTACCAGGAGTG